CACCGGCATCCGCATCGTCATCGTCATTATCACTGATGACGTCATCAGCGACGTCACTGATGACGTCACCGACATTCGCATCGTCATCGTCATCATCACTGGTGAAGTCATCAGTGACGTCACTAATGACGTCATCGGTACCCGCATCGCCATCGTCACTGATGACGTCACCAGTGACGTCAGTGATGACATCATCGGCATTGGGGGTCACGTGACCCCCCCTGGTTAGTTTAACCCCCCCCCCCTAGTGCCCTTCCCTCCTCCTCCTCAAGAGCTGCGCTCTAATCCGGCGTTACAGGGAGTTGTAAGCGGCTTTCATTTTTTCTTATTTTTATTTGTTACTTGAGACGCAGCTTTTGACAAAAACAATCGGTGACAACGGGAAGAAACATGCGAACGTTATCGCGCGGCGTGAAGCCATTTACAACTATTGAACTGGACCCTAATCTTTTCACGAAGTTGTACGAAATTTGTTTATGACCTTATTTTCTCTTTTTTTGCGTTGTAGTGTCGGCCTGCCTTTTTCTTGATGCGCAAGCAGCTCAGTGCATACGGACAAGACCAAGGCTGTTAAGCGAGGCAAAAAGACGGGCAGTTTTAATAATCTACGCCACTAACCATAATTGAAGATGCGTATGGTTAAAAGTCTTATGGTTAGGTTCATCGCAGTGACTAAAACTTCGACGTCGGTGGCGGCAAAAACTTACGTTGCGGACGTCGAATGAAGCAACACGGGCGGTGCCAACTTCATTTCACAACCTTTTTTGCTTTTTTGCTTTTTGTCGCAGCCGAGGTAGAAATTTTGTCTTGTGCAAAGAAGCTTGGGGGTAGTTTTAAGAAAGTCACTGCAGTTATTCTTTCAGAGTTGAATAAATCTTCCTTACTAGCGCAACATCCGTCAACTGTGCTTGAGGCCAATGCTATTTGAAACCAATTTTAGCGCATTGCAACGCTTGAAAATTATCGCCCAGGGCACAGTTTCTTTTAGAAGAACACAAAGCGTTCCACCAAAAAACCCTCCGCCAGCAACAAGAAAAAAAAAACTAATTTGGACTTTAACTTTAAGTGTATTCGCATCGAAAAGAGAATTAAAAGTGTTCTCAAAGATGAAATTCATGACGGCCTAGTCCTTTCGGAGAGCTGTGCATACGCTGGCGACAACAAGCTACCACAGGGAAGGCGTAGGACTTGGTCCGCTGCTTCAACGAGGTTTTCGGCAGCGTGCACAGGCCTCCGAGAGTTTTGTCAGAGAGTTGCGGTAGGTCGTTTAAACTGTTCGTCCACATAATATGGTCAGAAGGCGGAAAACAGTTTCTGCGCCGTTGCACATTTCCCGTACGGTTGTCTCCGATGCCTCCACCGTGCTTCGGTACCGACGACGCTTGCCAACATTAAAATGGCGACACTCTCAGTGTTGTCAGACCACAAAACAATTTCGTATAAGGTCTATTATAAAGCCCCTTCATATTTTAAAAGTAGCGCAAGGTTAGAGTACACTCTAGCAAGAAGCGTCGATGCACGAGACGCGTGCAAACGTGCAGCCCTTGGGAATATCATGGCGGCACAGCGCAGCACTGAGCTATACTCTGTTTCATACTTAGTGTGCAACGCTGTCAAAGCTACTGACGCGAGCGTGGGGCTTGATCTCGTTGATCATTTGCACGCGTTCTCGCGCAAACAAAATTATAGATGAAGCCACGCGCTCGCGCCAGTAGCTTTGACAGCGTTGCGCGCTAAGTATGAAACAGAGTATAGATTTCAGACGCCATGTTCTTCCCAAAAGTGGCGCGCGGCATGTGTCTCGAGCATTTCCACAACAATGAATGGCGCCGCTTTTCCCATGATAGAGGGGCTTTACACAATTATAGGGTGCCTACATGTCTGTCTGTCTCAGGGTGAAGACATCCATTGTTACCCTGAATGTGCCAGCGCGTGACGGGCTCGCGCACTCGGTGCGTGACTTGGGCGGTAAAATGGCGTCTATACCTTAGCCAAAGCTACGAGCTCGAGCTGAGTGACACCAGATTGCGCGCATTTCAAAATACATAAAAAACGATTGGGCGGAAAAATGGCTGAGACGTCACCACTCAAGCAAAAGCGCACGTGTGTATGAAGGCACTCTACACAATTAGAGCCACTAACACCACCTGGACCCGTTTCCTCGAAGCGCGGTTAAGCGCTAACCGCGGCTAAAGTCAGTACCTATAGGAGAGGAATTTCGAAATCACGTGACTGGCTCGGTAGGGATGCGGGGAGCCACGCATGGCCCCGTCGATTCGTTTGACAAAATGGCTGCGTCGTACGCAGGTTCCACGTTTGCGATCGCATGGGTGTTTGTCTTCAGGGCCCGTTTGCTCGAAGCCGCTTAACTTTAACCGCGGTTAAAAGTTAACCGTCCTTCCCTGTTAGGTACCTACAAGTACCTGGCCAAGTTTGACTATTGCTGGATGAGCGATAGCTCCGTGTTTTATTATAGGGTGGTAGCTGGTGTCACCTACTGGTTGTAGCGAATATAAGTGGCTTCCGTGGAAAAAGTTCCCCAAAGAGGGGGAACCAAACAAGGCGCGCTACCGGGTTCTCGCGACGCAGCGCGGCATACATTTGAACAGACAAATAATTTTTTTTTGTTGCTCGTGGTACAGATATTGGGTGAGGTAAAAATAAATTCACCATTGTTTGGAAAATTTCTGAATGCTTGGCTGTCTGGATTGAAGACAAGCCTCGTTTAAATTTCCTTCAAAGTTTGAAAGAGGATGACGAATTTCAGTCCTACAATCAATAAGAAAAAAGTGAGCAATGAAAGGCGGGCGGTACACCGGCAGCATGGTTGGCCAGCATGTAAGAACTGGGCATAACACCATCATAAATTGAAAAACCTGTAATGCGGCTCCAGTGAAAACATACCTATTATACTCTGTTTCACCTGATGATGTACCGCAGACAAGCGCGAGCTCCTTGTTCTGGGGGCGCATCTCGGCGGCACGAGCTCTCGTGCGTTAAAAGCAGTTCCCAATGCTATGAGCTCGCGCTTCTCGCCTTCTGTGCGGTACAACATAAGGTGAAACGGGGTATAGTAAATTACCTAAGCACCGAGGAGAACGCTGGAAGTGTAATTCTACGGTCCGCGCGCGCTAGCCTTCCTCGTATAAAATATTCGAAGTAAATAATCATAATAAGGCTTTGACGAAATCGCGTGGAAGGCAAAATTTGTTTTAGACTCTTTGCTTTAGAACAATTACTACGGCAGACGCCAGCACGTGCAACGCGTGTAACTAAACTCGTAGCATGCACCTATGTGCTTGGGAAATTTAGAAGCAAGGTCTAAATGAGGTATTTACTGGACGCCATATTTGAGGGCGATGTTTAGAGCACACGCTCAGAACGAGCGCACATTAATAGCCTGCGAAGACCGGCAACCTTCATGGTGCTAAATGCACGCTCCAAAAGGACTGCGGAAGCTCGCCGTCAGCACGCGCTCAGCAGCAGCGCACACGGATATGGCCGCCAGTGAATACTCCCTATTAGGACGCTGCCTGCTTTTGTGTGCTATCAAGTCGCAACTTTCACGACCTATAGGGGGCGCATGGTGCCTATCATTCTGGCTGTCATCTGGATGATCATCGTAGAACAGCAGTAGGGGCTGAGTACGGGGCTGGGGTTGCGACGCGTGAGTAATTCTAGTTTTGCTATATTCGAGCAGTATTAGAGCCTTAGTTTATTTTTTCACGTCAGGACGGTGTTGGCAAGCACTTTTATTGGGAAGCCGATCATCCAGGAGCTAGGAAGCGCGATTCTCACGCCGCGGTACCACTACCGCTGAAAGTTGCGAATACCCGGCTGATTGAGTTAAGGCAATCCCCTTTCCAAAAGCGTTGCCATGCCGACAATTATCCCGTTCATTTAGGCTCAGGAATGGCCAGAATCAAAAGACTATATAAAAAAATGCGGCGAGGTCATTGCTCATTATTTGCGATTTAAGTGAGGTAAGGCAAAGCAAACGCCTCCTGCGCCATTCCTTGCTGACTGACGCGCCCGATATTGGAGCTACAACGACATATCAGTTCCAAAGCGAGCGGCGCTCGCTCACCGCGTCACCGCCATGTTTCCCCGCATCCCTACCGAGTCAGTCACGTGATTTCAAAATCCTTCTCCTAGGTGCCTAAAGAAGCGCTATTTTCTGTGTACTTCCTCGTCCCTGTATTTTTTGCGCTTTTTAGGCTAATTTTAGTCACTGTTAGCGGTTAACGGCGCTTCGAGCAAACGGGCCATCGTGATAGTTAGGGGGAAACAATTGGCTTAAAAGGGCGAAAGGAATCATATATTTGTCTCTTTAGACTTAGGCTAGGTGGCGCAACCTACCGCCCGTCACAAAGGGTATAGCCATTAACATCCATCCATCCATCCATTGTTGGTTAAGTGTCGTTACTCTCAGGCGTAGCTTATTTAGTGGCGCCACCCACAACTCCAGGGCCAAAGCGGGACTGAGAATAACTGCAGCGTCAGCGTTCGGTTGGGACTTTCCCTGACTAAACACGAGTATTAGCAGAACGTGGGTTAGGCGTGCCTCCGCGTTTACACTTATCTTAGCAAGGGCAGAAAGCTCGCGCTGGAGGCGTAGCTTGTAGCCTCGTCTTAATGGTGAACGGAGTATAGTGTCCAATCTGTGACATGGCTTTCTTCAGGTGACGCCGAACATTGAGCACTACGGCTTTGTTACCCCCGAGCTGTTGCCGAAGTCACCTGTCGATTTTCTCTTCATTTACTCTATTATCTGCTTCGCTACCCGGCGCAGTTTTTGTTACGAAACTTTCAATGTTGGAAACCTATTTCTTGCCACTTTGTGAGCCAATAAGTACTGTATGAAAAGTGAATTTATTTTGTCCAACAACGTTCATGACAAAAAAAAGCCATCGCTTACAAAAGGGACTGTATACCGATGGAGTACAGTTGAGTGTAGCCGAGTGAGCACTGATGCAAACTTCTCGCTTCGCCTTTTCCAGGTGTTGGAACACTCAATGGGAAAGTGTGGCAAGAGAACCGCCAGATGTGCTTGAAGCTGCTTCGAGAGCTCGGACTGGGAAAAGCGTGTCTGGAAGAAAAAATATTGGTAAGAGATCAAGAAGATAAGCTTAAGATCCAAACTCCCCTCCCCTTACCCTGTAGAAATGTGGCTAAAACACTAGTGCCTACTCGTTACAAAAAGAACAAAAACTTAGTTTGAAATTTTTGCATTTCCTCAAGGGTCAAAAGATCGCACTATTTTTAAAGCGGATCTGTTAACGCCCGTTTCCGGGTTTCTCGGCGTCAGCGTCGGCGTCGGCGTAATCATGCTAAACTTAGCGGGAAAATTAACGTCACGTGACCTCAAGACCAACTCAATTCCCTGCTAAATTTAGCGGGGAATCGAATTGGTGTGGAGGTCACGTGACAGCAATTTTCCCGTTAAATCTGGCGGAGAAACTGAATTTGTTCATAGGTGACGTGACACCAAGTAATGTGACGTCATATTCTTTTGCTAAATTTGTCCGGAAACTGTATTGATGTTGACGTCACGTGGCGTCCATTTCTAGAGCGTAGCTCTTAGGCGCCCGTTTCCGGTTTAAGCGGCGTCGGCGTCCCCGTCGCCGTGGGTGTCGCCGTCGCCGTGGGTGTCGCCGTCGCCGTGGGTGTCGCCGTCGCCGTCGGTGTAACCGCGCGGAGCATTATGGGTAAATTTCCCCGCTAAATTTAGCGGAAAATGCTCCCCGATAAATTTAGCGGGGAAAATTTCCCCGCTAAATTTAGCGGGAAAGGATCTCCGCTAAGTCTAGCGGAAAATTTCACCGCTAAATTTGGCGGAGAATTTTTTCTACTAAATTTAGCGAACATTTTTACCCGCCAAATTTCGCCGAAAACCTCTCCACTAAATTTAGCGAAAAAGGTTTCCCCGTTAAAGTTAACGGGAAAAGTTCTCCGCTAAATCTAGCGGAAAATTTCCCCGCTAAATTTGGCGGAGAATTTTTTCTGCTAAATTTAGCGGAAAATTTCCCCGCTAAATTTAGCGGGAAAAACTCTCCGCCCAATTTAGCGGAAAATTTTCTCTAAATGGGAGGTAAGCAGGAAATGTGGCGGGGCACAGTACCTTCCCCTCTTCCTCCTCAAGAGCTGCGCTCTAATTTGGCATTACAGGGGATTGTAAACGTCTTCCATTTTTTCAGCTAAATTTAGCGGGGGAAACTGTGGGAGGAAGGGAGGGTACGGTAGAGGAGGATGGGAGGGTAGGCAGGAGGAGGAGGGGAGGGTACGGGGAGATAAGAAGGGAGAGAGGAGGAGGAGAGAGGAAAGAGGTGGAGACGAGGATTGGAAGAGGAGGAGGGTTGTCGGGACTGTCGAGCGGAGCGGACATGTTTGCAGGAGCTCTTCCGAAGGCGTGCGAAGCAAAGAGTATTCGGTATTTCGCTTGTAGATTTTGTTCTAACGTGTATGAAATAGTTTGCATAGATTTAGGAAGTGCTAGGATATGGAGTTAGGTCAGTGCAGGCCGGCGGACGCGACTAGAAATTAAGGCTAGAGTAGGGCTTTGTTATTATTTTTGGCGGGACATTTTTTTTTTTTTGTGTATATAACACGGTTTGAGGTAGATAGACGCAATGGCTTGGTGTAGCAAATTTTACAAAGGGGTGATGATATAGTGTCGTGTGATTAGTGCATGTGGTGGGTGTATCTAGATGAGACTGATTTTGAGAGCTCAGCCGAGGCGGAGGAGTGTATCTTGGTTTGCCGAATCTGCAAGAGGGCTGCGGAGGGATTTAAGTTGATAGAAGGGGAGTGCGCAGCCAGTGTTTAGGAGGTGAAGTGGGAGTTTGAATTAGAGCGAGAAAAGCGGGTTGCCCTGGATACTCAGGTCGAGGTGTTAGCTAGGAGGGAAGAACTAAAGGTAGAGTTTCAGGAGATCATCAATGAATGGGAAAGAAAGGTGGAGCGTATGTTAGGCGAGCAAAGTGAGGAGCGGAAGAAGCGGGTGGAGCTTGAGTGACAGGAGGAGGAGCTCAAGGAGGGGGAAGTGTGGAAGGCCTTGATGGGGCAACGTAAGAGGGAATGCGAAGCTGGGTTGGAGCAGCTGAGGAGGGAGTCGACAGCGAACGTAGCAGGAATGGCACTCTCAGAGGAAGGAAGCACTAGTGAACAGGTGGAAGTCAGCGGGACTGGAGTGGGTGCTCGACCCTACAGTGCCGTTGTTGCGCAGGTTACTAGCGGGGCAATAAATGACGCGGTGGTAGACCGACAGACACAAAGTGATGTAGTGCAGATAGCTGGAGGGAGCCAGGTGCAGGGCAGGGACGGAGAGAAAGGGACAGAAGACAGGCAGCAGGAGGCTAAAGGGTACTGGTGCTAGGAGACTCGAACGTAACAAGGATTAAAGGGGCCTACTGGCCGGGGTGAAAAGAGATGGGAGGGTAAACTTCGTGGCCCAGTCGAAGAAGTGCTTCGTAGACGCTATGGCCAAAGCTAAGAAAGGGCTCTGGGGTAACATGGAGGCAGATACCTAGCAGTAGTGCATGCGGGACTGAATGATGTGTTGAAGGCAAGGATTCAGAACTTCTATAGGCACATAGAGGTTGGGATACGTAAGCTGAGGGAGGTCTCTGAGGGGGTGCATGTGCAAATTAGCAATATCCCAGAGGTCTGGGAATAACCTTTTCAAACAGAGCAGCGGGTAGTGTCAGCTAACCAGGAGATTAGGGGTACGAGCCAACGACTTCAGTATGGCGTATTGGAAGTAAACAGGATGGTGTATGAGGCTCGCTCCGACCCTTTTCTACGGGGCATCCACTACAGTGGAACCCCAGGTAGAACGACAGGGGATAGGATTGGATGTCATGTCGTCGTAGATTTTTGGGCATCCACGAAGCCAGGAGTGCACCGGTGTACATGTAACAGCACCATATGTACCAGAACCAGAGTTGGGGGAAGCACCTGTGTGTGAGTACCGCAAGAACAGCAGGGAGAGCAGGGGGAAGCCCCGTAGAAATAAGAGAAAGAATCGGCTCAATAAAGAGTTCATAAACATGCAAGGATGTAGAAACAGAGTAAAGTGGGAAGAAATCAGTGACCAATGAGAGGCAAAAAAGTTTACAGTGTGTGGGGTTGCAGAAAAGAACCTTAGAGACGAGGAGAAACCACCGTACGTACCAGGCTACTACTGGGCGGAATGCAACCTCGGGTAGATGAACGCAAAGGCGGAGGTGTTAGTTAAACGACAAGACTGGAAAAGAGAGAGGGGAAGCTGCAGAAAACACGTATGACTGAAAGGTAGGGTAGCAGGTCGCAGCACTGCTCTGGGGTTTGCATACTTGAAAACATAATATGACTGAAGGGAGGCAAATACAGAACGCTTTACACGCATATCGAGAGACATCAGGGGAATTGGTCTTAATCAGGAAATATTTATCATACGATACATGAATGCCCACTTAGAACTGTTTGACGGATTCATGGATACAACCGGAATGTTGTTAGAATATTTCTGTGATGCCCTGAACCTAGTTTTGGTTAATGCACAAGTAATATGCGGCAGGAAAATAACGTAGGAACGAAACCACTCACACTCAACAATAGACTACTGCCTCATGTCCCCACAAATCGTATGGTAGCTTAGGAAGTATGGAAATAGATGAGGAAGGTACAAAAAGCTTAGCGAGCGATCACAAAAGAGTTAAGATTAAATTTGGCGCATCCGAACCAGAACAGCAAACTCAGGAACGAGCGGGTAAGCCGAGACTAAGCGAAGCCCAACCCTAAAATGTATCTAAAAGTATTGAGAACGTAGTATCTAAACAACCAACAAGAAAATGGACGGATGAGGCTTCGATAGACATCTTTAGAAAAATAATTAGAGGAGCACCGAATTAAACAAAAAAGAAAGCAAAAGCGGAGACAAAAACCAGAAGCTGCTGGGATAAGGAGGTCAAATCAGACATACTGCGGCGCCAAGATGCATCTAGGGAGCATACGTGGGCCAAGAAAAGGGAAGCCTTATTTATCAGCTGAAGAAGAATCGAAATGGTAGAACTTCCATAAGCGGAAAAGAGAGGCACCAGCTTTAATACAGGCCAAAATTGGGACTGCAGGAGTGCAGTGGTTGATGTAAATAAATAAAAAAAAAGGAATGCCGCGAAAAAGTGTTTGGGACATAATAAAGCGCAGTAGTGAAAGAGAGAGAGAGAGAGATTCCGACGCTTAGTGACCACACAGGAGGGGAGAAGAGTAGAGGGGGGAATAGGCACGGGATTATATTCGGCAGACGATCGAAGAGGCTTTCTCCAAGCTTAAGCAGAGGGCAGAGGGGGACAGTGGATAGCGCTGACAGCAGCAATGCTGCTGTAGCATTGTTGCATTTCATTGCGGCAATGCAATGCAGCATTGCTGCAGTGCATGTTATAACACATGGCTACTCAAGAACGCCAAGCGTAACTGCCCTAAAATTCAACCTCGACCTATGCCCTCCATCTCAAAGAACTCAAATTGCTCGTCTTGTCCTTTTTCACAAAACTTATGTTCCTCTTCTGATTTTCGAAGCACCAACTGTCATTCACCACCTCACATCTCCATGCCTCACGACCACAGCCTAATAATTAAACCTATATTCGCAAGAACTAATGAATTCCAAAATTCCCCACTTTCTCTCGCTATTACTAACGTGAATTCCCTTCCTGGTACCATAGTATATTAATCTAACCTGAAGCCATTTCGTGAACTCTGCAAGGCACACCTGAAAAGTGTTGATATTTAACATGTTTATCTGTTAATTACTGTCTACATGCTATGTTTTGATATCCGTCCTATCAGTTGGTAGTTTTTTTTTTTTGCGTCTTCCTATTATTTACCTTGTCGTCACTCTTCTGCTATCTGTATTTGTCATTTGATCCCCCCTTATTTAATGCATTTCATCTGAAATACCTTTGAGGTAGAATAAACTGAACTGAACTAAACTAGATGTAGAGGAGGAGCAGAATTACGTAACAATAAAGACGACCACAAAATAATGGAATAAGGCAGAAAGTAATGTTCCAGCAGGTACAGCGAGAGGCCCGGGCGACATACCCCTGAAACGCATTAATAAACTAG